ACCGAGAATACCGAACCGAAAAATACCGAACCGAAAAAGTACCGAGAAGAAACCGAACCGTACCGAACCGAATGGTCGGTACGGTATTTGGGAACGGTACGAGGTGACGTACCATACCGAAAATCCCGAACCGAACATATATACTAAAATATTATAAAAAATAATAACCCGGAGTAATATTTTTCATATTCCTTCACTAAATAATACGGAGTAATTTTTTAAAAAAAAATTGGTTGAAGTTTTATCATGTGTAAGTTATACTTTTATTTGAGTTTTAGTTTTTGTGTATAAACATAAAAGTATTCACAAAGATTCGAAAAACCCTTTGTTGTCGTTCATTTTTTTAGTTTGTGAAATATAAACTATGTTTTGATATGCATCCCTTGCATTTAAATATTCATTTTTTTAATTTTTCACGTTTTTTTATTTAAATTCACTTTTAATTTTCAAAAATAAAGGGACATTGTTAAACTTTAAGGTGTAAAGTAGGTATGTATATTCATCCCGATTTGTACCGAAACCGATACCGAACCATCCCGAACCATACCAAACCGATATGTCGGGATCGGGATCGGTACGGTGTAAAATCCCATACCGAACCGAAATATTTGGTACGGTATCGGTACGGGCTAAATACCGTACCATACCGTACCATGCTCACCCCTACTTGAGAATGATAAGGGAGGGGGGTAGACATGGGTCGTGGGCCCAATAAGCCCGGGTTTTGATTTGGGTAAGGTGAGTTCCAGGCGTTAGGGCCGTCAGGATAGGTCCGTTGCCTCGAGCTGCTTTGTCGTCCACGACCTCTACCCCGAGAGCTGTTGCCTTGCCCGCCGCCGCGTCCATAGCCGTTGCGCTGTCCGAAGGAGCCGCCCTCACCATAGCTGCCGCTGTGCTGGAGCCCGCCGCCATGGAAGCCGCCGCTGCCACTTCCGCTGTGCTGGGAGCCACCACTGCCGCGGCTAGAGGATTGCCGACTGCCGCCGTTACCACCGGTCCATTCGGCAAGGAGAGCCGTGCGCCTGCTTCGGCCATGGGAGAGCGTTGCCGGTCCAATAAGATAAGGGCGGAACGGGCTTGGAGAAAAGTGGGCAGCGGGTACTGAAATTGAAGAAAAGACGTCTGGGCCTGCAAATCTACGGGGAGACCACGAAGCATCTAAAGAACCAATTGATGTTGGGACATCAAGGCATCAACATCGTCCAGCCAATCGCCGAGATTTTGCAGATGCTGACAATAGGCTGCCATAGTGGTGTTGCCTTTGACGGTGGTACGGAATTCGTGCTCTAGTTGCATGGCACGAGCATTCTTGTTGTCGTGAAATAGATCATGAATAACTTTCCAAAGAGAAGAAGCGGTGGAGACAGGGGAGATAACCAGATCTAAGACTTCGTCGGAGATGGTGGACAAGATCCATCCCTGGAGGAGAGCGTCAAGTTGGAGCCACTCATCATCGTATTTAGAGGGAGGGACGATGGAGAGATTGATGTAGCCTTGGAGATTGAATCGGCGAACCAAGAGGAGAAAAAGGCGACTCCACTTTTTGTAGTTCGGTTGAGAGAGGGTGAGAAGAACCGGAACATGGAGTTTGACATTTAAGATCGTCGTGAAAGCAAGATGAGGGGTTTTTGCCGGAGTGGAGCCGGAGGTAACCTCACTTTCGGCCATTGGAGAGAAGAGAGTCGGAGGGAGAGAGGGGGGGAGTGCCGCCGCTGGAGGATTGCCGACGATGAAGGAGGGACGCCGGGGCCGCGCTGAAACTGCCGAGAGGGAGAGAGAGGAAGCCGAGAGGTAGGGTTAGGGTTTTGGTTTTTTTCGTTTAATTAGGCTCCGATACCATGAAAAATAATGATTATCATTGATTGAATGAGTTGTGATTAAAGGTATATATATAAGAGGAGTCTCAATCATAAACAAGGTAGGAGAGACACAAGGAAGGAAACCTATACAAATAAGGTAAGGGAATAATACAATATATTAAATATATACAATATATTTAACATTAATATAATTAATTTGATTTTAAAATTTAGTTCTGATATATCAAATTTTTATCACATCTACTAATATCTTTATGTTTATAAATGCAAAGATAAAAGATAAATTCAAATAGTATTACACTCTAATTGAATACGTTTTGGTAAAAATTGAGTGAAATTAGGTGAAATTAATAAGATTTATTTGGCTTTAGTTCTAATCGGTTTCGGATCTAATTGGTTTCGGGTATTATCGATTTCAAATCTAATCGGTTTCAAGTTTGATTGGTTCAGATCCAATCGTTTCGGATTTAAATCGAATATGAATTATTTAGTTTAGTTTCGGTTTAGTTCGGATCATTTCGGTTTCGAATATTTTGATTCGAGTAATTGGTTCTGGTTCTGTTTTGGCAAGTCTAAGCATCTAATGGGAATTAGCCCAACAACTATGGCGAAGAAGAACAGATAATACTGATAATCAATGAATCTCTTAATATTTCTATTACTTTGTGTGTATAAGTGTTTTTCACTTGCCTTACAATTACATACATAATGGGCACTCATCTCGTGCACAAATCTCGCCATTATCTCTCGCACGCCGATCGTGGCCTGGTGGTTCACCATCTCAACCCTTACTCTTTCCACGACCTTGCACTGTGCCGTACCTTCGTTATACGTTTGGGCCTATTGACAGGAACTGGGTCATTTATTTCCTGTTCAGCAACCCTCGTTCTGCACCAACCCAAGTCGCTCCTGTGGACTAGGCCGTTCATTTATGTCTATTGGGCCCGGTTATCCAACACAAGCCGCCTAGTTTCTTAGCGAGACATCGCTTAGGAACTATAGTTGTGCCGCCCTTGGTTTGAACTCGTTCTCATGCGCGATCTCTTGGGAGCGCCCTTCAAAATCCATCCTTCGGATACTTTCGGTGGGATTTCACTTACCCACAATCCGGCACCGAAATGTTTTTTTGGTGATGCACTATGATTCGGTTCTTCACGATTTCAGACTTCAACTTCACCCTTTTATCCGCGAGGTGTGCAGAAATTGGGATCTTCTCCGTGAGCAATTCACAGCCAATGCATACAAATATCTGGCGTCCTACACCTTGCACTGCTGTGACAAGCTTATGACCCCTTCTAGGAGGGATTTTATGCACTTTTTCAGCCTCAGTGGTGATTCCCCTTTTTTCAGCCTTTACCACAATTAGAAATACGTTCTCTTTACCGAAGTTGACGGCGTATTAAAAATTGGGAAGACAAGTTTTTTTGTGATTGAGGCTCCTGCTGATCGGCCTTTCGACCATCGAACTGAGCCTCGTAAGTCCAGACTCCCCTGGACCCCCTTTTCCAAGGGTTACCAGGTTGGGAAATCCTTTGAAGAGATGAAGGATACCGGCCTCATCAATCTTGAGTGCCTCCAAGATCCTAAATCAGGTTGAGAAAGCCTTTGATGTGTGCGTATAATAAATGTTATATTATTTATTTTGTGTTAATTATATGACAATTAAAGTTGAAAAAAATAAATTGGAAGGTTCCTTAAAGGGGTGTTTCGAAATTGACAAAGTAAAGTAGGAATGAGATTTAATTTCTTTTCTAAACACTAAAAGGTATATTTCTATTAAGAATGGGAATGTGTATTATGCTCTTTATAAATAGGAGATCATTCCACCCCTTTTGTACATCGAAATTTCATCCCTCTCCCTCTTTTATTAAGATACGATTTTTTTTGTTCTCTTAACACTTTACACCAAATACTTTATATTTTAGAAATACTCTAGGAAAAAATTACTAACATAATTTTCCCTAGAATGCTCTTTGTAGTTCATTTGTCTCAACTAGAGGTCAGATACTTTTGTGGCTAGATCTTGGACCAATCCCTTCAACCACACATATCGTTGCTTGCTCTCCAAGAAAGGTATAATCTCTAACAATACCTTATAATGATCGTAAGAGGTCTTGGGTAGATCTACCTTTGGACAAATTTTTTTATATTTATGCTGCCCTATCTAAGCGTAGAACCCAACAACTAGGCGAGTGTTGCCTTCTTCCAAGATGCACATGGTGTTTGCGAAGGGGATTGGGATGGCCTTGACTTTGTCCATGAACTACATACCCATCGGGTAGTCATCCACGGTAACAACCGAGAAATTTATGAGACCGTTCCAATCACCTAATCTTACCTTGACGTCATGAGCAATTCCAAAGGTAGCCATGGGTTTGGAGTTGACAGCCTTAAGCCAGCCACACTCTCCTTTGTAGCAAATGCTGAACTTTTTCGCCTCTTCTTCTCTAAGGAAGTTGCTTGAAGCACTCGTTCTACAAGAGTTTTCACGGCGTGTTCTCCAATCTTGGCTTCCACGAACAATCACCCTTCTTTCCGGACTTGGGCATCTTCACCTTTTCCTTGATCGTGTTTAGGAGTTATAAGGATCCTACTCTCTCGTCTTCACGTTCTTGCTCCTCCCTTTCCTCAACCAATGGCGACTGTTTTGCCTTCTTTTGGCATTCCCTTGCCCAATGTGGCCTCTCATAAAAGAAGCATTTTAGTGGAAGTCTATCTCCGGCCTTGCACTCAATGGTTCTCTTCGTCTTCTCAGTCGTTTCTTTTCCTCGATGGTGGTCTCCCCCACTCTTTCCTTTGCCGCCCTTATCTTTTGGCTTTGGTTTCTCAGGCTCCTTGAACTCGATAAGGGATTCAGCAATGAAAATGGCGGTGGTTAAGTCTTGAGCCCCACGTGTTTGAATCTCAAGTCTAGCCCACTGCTGCAACCCATCCATAAAGGCAAAGAAAGTTTGTTTATCAGGATAGTCAAGGATTTGAAGAAGTACCTCAGTGAACTCCTTGACGTATTCTTAAATGCTTCCTTTATGTTGAAGTCGCAGAATATCTATCTTGGAAGACGAATTCCATACCTCGCATGTTGATGGACTACCTTGTAGCAAAGGATAACGATTATTGATTGTCAAATCGTTTGAGTTTCTTAACAGGGATTTGATAATATTCTTACCGTAAGTCAATCTTAGAGAACACAATGGGTCATCTAAGCCGATCAAATAAGTCATCGATATGAGATAAGGATAACGATTTCATTTTACGGTAGGTTGATATAGAGTCTCATCAATCCATCTTCATTTGCATATTCATTTGAGATGGACTCGGTTGGTTTAGTAATCAGCTTTGCTTTCACCTCTATGAGGTTACCATAATTGGTCTTTAGTTGAAGAATTCTTCATCAAGAGTTGTAAACAAAAACGGCGTTTAGTGAGCCAATTCATACTAAGGATAACGTCAATTTCCTTGTATGGTATTTCAACGAGGTTTTTCAAGGAATCGTCACTCAACGAACAATTTTGATTCAAAACGGAACGAGATTCTTTAGATAACAGATTGATTTTAAATGTTCGTGTTTGAATCAGCGATCAGATCGTGTTGAGTCCACATGAGGATCTTCAATGCCGGATTCACAGATGATGTTCGTCAAATCAACATTAATCGTTTCTTCAGAGTCGTCTCACTTCCGTGCGACCTTTCTATGCAGATCAGTTTCGTTATTCGCGATGCGATGTATACGTTGATAATGTATCAAAGAGTCATATATTTTCGTTTATCCTTTCGTCTCTTCACTGAGTACGAAAGTTCGACTTGAGTTTAGCTTGATATGATTTTAGTACTAAGAATTGTTATTTAATGAGAATTTTAACTAAGTTAATATTTATCTAGTAAGTTCTCATTACATTTCCTGGAGCAGAGGGATGTGAGAGTCGTGGATGCGACTGACATTTTTTTTAAATACAAATTTTAATCAGAAGATCGGTTTTAAAACCATTTGCTTCGATACCATATTGTAACACCCTAATCCGTCCAGGTCTGCAGCCCCTTTCGGACTAAAGTATTTAACTTGGAAATTGTAAAAATTTAAAACCTTTCAAACACTTTTATTTATCACAATAATATTTTTCATAACATGTACAGTACGGAGTATTCAACAATATTGCGGAAGCAAATTTAATATTGACATATCATAAATCATTTGAAACTTGTCACATTCATCCCGACAATCTCGTCCCATCTGCAACCCGGATCACATTGTTCTTTCTGTTTACCTATGTGTAGCAATTAAAACACACTACACGCTCAGCAGTAAAGCTGAGTAAGCATATCTAATATGTCGAATATCCATATAAACTGAATCTAAATTCATAATCAAATCATTTGATATCATGCACACAATGTTCAATTCAGACATTTATAATTTTTTCATGTTTCAGTTCATATCAACATATTTTATTCAATTCAAATACTATTTCGACAGTGGTCTTAAATTACTTTTAATCTAAGGCCAACGATAATAACAATGCTCTTAGCTATTCTTAGTCTAAGGCCAGTTCATAACAATGCTCTTAGCTATTCTTAGTCTAAGGCCACATCAAAATTTCCATAACCAGAATCTTAAACTATGGCTAGTTTAAGGCCATTATCCAGACTCTTAAAAAGGCAATTAATAATCATACACTTAAACTATCATTAGTTTAACGAAATTGATTTCGGACTCTTAACTCTAGTCAGTTAAGGCAACAAGAATATAGCGATTGATCAATGTTAGATCTGGGCATTCCCAAACGAGTGGTCCTCTAGTTTGGTCTACGAATCTCGTTTATGCGTTTTTATCTAATTCATCAAATATTCATGTTTTAATAAGTCCATTCTAATACGAGATCTATGTTAGAGGTCTTCTAGATAGTCTTAACATCAATTAACTAAGGGCCTGTTCTTTAGGACTGGAAAAAAAGAGCCGGATGTTGGAAGGAACTGGAAGAAACGGGAAGGAACCGGAAGAACTAGAAGGAACTGGAAGGAACTAGAAAAACTGAAAAATATTAAAAGAAACTAAAAAAACTAGAATAAATTGTAAAATCTAAAAAACGTTTTTAAAATTTTTTTATGTGTGGTTTTAAATTATTCTCATTCTGATTCTTGTTGATATAAATTATTATTACTATTACTATTATTATTATTATTATTATTATTATTATTATTATTATTATTATTATTATTATTATTATTATTATTATTATTATTATTATTATTATTATTATTATTCTTGTTGTTGTTTTTGTTCTTGTTGTTGTTGGTGGTGGTGGTGGCTCTCGATTTTATAAGGCCTTATCAAAATGCAGATGAAGTGCCCGAAGAAATTGCAAGCAATACCTTGTATTGGCCTTTTTTTAAGGTAGGTCAAGGATCACTAAAAAGTATTATTCAATGATCTTATAAGTTTTCAATAATTTTTTACATGTTTTGCATAATGTATGATTATAAAATGTTTGGATATAATGTTTAATTCTTTTCCTGAAGGATTGTATAGGAGCTCTAGATGGAACACATATTGAAGCTCGTGTAGGTGATGAACATGCTCAACCTTTCCGAGATCGTAAAGGGAACAAGAGTTGGAATGTTTTGGCCGTATGCTCAACCTTTTTTTCTTTTTCAAAATGTAGTTTTCTCTTGGTTTTCATAATGTAGTACTCCCCACCACATTCCATATTTTATATTTTACATTAAAATATTGATGTTTACCTTATATAAATTTAGATTAAAAAATATTCTATATAACTATTTAACCATAATTTTTTAAATAGTTTCCTAATTTTTCATGTAGATTAATATACAAAAAAACGGTATTATTCATATTAAAAAGTTGAAGAAAAAATAATAATGAATGTGAATCATAAAAATAGTGATATGAAAAAATGAAATAATTTATAAACTATAATTATGAACATAAAAGTTGTAATTAAAAAAAGTTGTAATAATAATAATAATATTTTTTTTAGAGTGATTTGTCAAAAAGTAGAAAAAATTTGAAGAAAATAAATATAGTTGAAGGAAATTAGAAGAAATTAGAAAAAACTGGAAAGAAGTGGAAGGAACTGGAAGTTAAGAGTTCAAGTCCTTAAGAACAGGACCTAAATGGGTATATCTTAGAGTACTTCTAGATATCCATAACAATACAAATCATTTTATAATTATCAATATATTCAATTTTACTCATGATTTAATCATACACAATCATTTTAATCAGTAAGCTTATCATTCATAATCATCCATAATAATTATTCATCATAATCATCAATCAACATAACAACTGATAACAAATAGCGGTCTAGTTTCGAGTGTTAACACCCGAACTTACCGTCATGCATCACATAACATTTTTATTTGTTAAAAACATCATTTGTATTGTTAAAAATCATCTTTATAATGATCATAATCAATTGGTATCAAAAATAGGATTTTAGAGCTCAAAAATAGCAATTTCGGGAAAATTTTCGGATCAGAACATCGAGGGATCGATCCATGATATGAAAAATGTTCTCAGGGGATCGATCCAAGCCCTTGGATCGATCCAGATAGTGGTTTTTCAGCCATTGTTCATCTTCTTCTTCCTTCGGGTCCATTTCTGGAAATACCATTTTTAGTTACCGAACTTCAACGAAAATGTATAGAAATGTTCTCCAAGGTTCATAGATCATTTTGGTACCATTAATTCATAGTTTGAACAATAATTTCATGGTTTATGATTCTTGGTTCATCAAGCATGTCAAACACAAAACTCAACCAAACGACTGCTTATGAACGTAGAAACGATCTATACGAACATTCTAGTCATTAGATATATATACGGGCTTAGCTTGAAGCTTATCAAAGGTTTTGAGAATTTTTCGACCAAACCTTCGGTGATGATTACTCCCAACTCCGGTGACTTCGGCGGCAACCAACAACACCAGACTGCTCTCCTTACTCTTATGAACACAATGGTATAAATTTCCAGAAAATTGGTGAAGAATTGGTAAGGATTGAGTATTCTTATAGGAGAAGTGAAGGGGAAGAGGACACTGGGCTGACTCATTTCTACGTCTGAAAATCGCGTGGTGGAGGGGGTTGCGCCGATTAGAGATTTACACGATTCTTCCCTGATTGGGACTAATTTCGGTCCTAGTCGGGATACTCTTTTTGGTCCAACTTTCTCCGAATTGAAATCCATTTGCACCGTTGCGATCAGACAGTCGAATTATATTCAACGATATATTTTTCATAATTATTTCTAATACTTTTTCGGACATCATATTTTTGGGTGTTTGACTTTGACAGAGTCAAAATTGATTTAGTTGACTTTTGTTCAAAAAGGTTCTCATATTTAATTCATATTAGTTATTCTCATGATTTATTTCAATAAATCATTTTAAAGTTCACATCATAAATAATTTTCTTCATTTATTCTTGATTTGGGTCTGTACTCAGGTTCTCAATCAAGACCAGATAAATAGTCAAAATATTGGATTTATCTCTATGTGATTTATCCAAATTGTGATATTGAATATCAAAACACATTTCTTATCGGCCCAAAGCCCAACAAGAATTTTTTTTAATCAAAACAAATTTGATTAATCGAATAATTATTCATTAATAATTCCAGGGTATGTTTTGGGGCGTTACACCTAGGTACCTAACAAGTGTGATGATTTTTTCATTTTTGGCCAAATCTTCTCCAATTTTGTTTAAAATCTTTTGGATGTTTGAAAATGATTATAAGAAGGTTTAAAACATATTTTGTCAATGCATTTGAGATTGTGAATATAGGTATGTAAAATTTATATCCTTAAGTTGTTTCTACCTATATTCTACGCTTGTTTAGTGTTTCAACTTCGTTTTTGAGAACCGAATCTTAATGGATTCTTGTTGTACCTAAAACACGCAAAAAAATGTTAGCTCATATATTGTTTGTTAACATCAAAACGCGATATATATTTTACAAACCAAGGATAATCACTGGAAGGACCACGTT